ATTACATCATTAATTATTTAATTAACCAAAAAGATTACATCTTTATTAATAACAAATTAATTCTTAAACAAAACAATTAAATATAAACTACGCAAACGTGCATTGCACGTTGCTTGCACCTAGTATATATATAAGGTTATGTCTCCAATTCATATGTGAAATTTCTCATTTTTTCTTACATCTCATCAACACAAGAATACAAGAGAAAGTATATTGAAAAGGAATATGATCAATAAACCCACAATCAAAAATCAAGAAGAAGCTTTGGAACAATTAAATTGAAGAACAAAAGATCAAGATTCATTATTCAAGATACGGATCAATGGATCCGCGTTAATTAATTTTCTTGATGATTTGACATGGAAATCTTGACAATTATGTAAAGTTTATAAAGTGTAAGTTTCATGAAAAATTTCAACAGTTACAGCCTACAATATTGTAATTAAGGGGCTCATTGAGCGTGACAGTTATGATGTCGCCGCCAAATTTGCTTAGTCAGATGATGAATTATGGTGTTGGTACCACTGCTGCCCTTGGATGTTTTTACTAAACAAGGGAAGGCAGAGATTGAGAACATTTTGAATAGGTCTCGAAGCCCTTTTCCTCGAGTGTCTGGAATATGTCCTGGCAAAGGTCCCCAACCCCAAGGGATAGCAAGGGCACATCAAATGCCACAACAGGGTGGAAGACACACTGCAATGCCATGGCAGACAGAATTTTACCCACAATCACATAATAAGTCTCAAATGAATGGACAGTCGGCAATATACATCCAAGGTCAGAACAGGAGGCAGAGTTCACTCGCATGGCTGGACAAAATGTGGCTTAAATTATGGGTGGATGATGAATGGTTAGCTTTTGAATGTTCAGTCACACGGCTGGATACCATGCGGCTTAAATTGTAGGTAGACCGATTTGAATTGGTTCACCTTTTCTTTCTCACATTGCAGTTGGGGCATTAGAAGGTACGTATTGTATACTTGGAGCATCTATTTTTTTTTACTCCAGACCTTGGTGAGAACTTTGAATATAATGATGAGAAAATTTTGTAAGAGTTACTTGATGGTGTTATTTGGTTGGTCACAGACACGAATACTTCGATGATACATGTAATTCAGACAGTTTTGGAATGAATAAGGATCTTCCTATTTGAAAAGGAAGTACCGTATCTAAGGCTGTATATATATATATAAAAGTTGAAAAATCATGGAGGTGTATAATTTCTTTGTACAAATGGGAAACTCGGATATGGAATTGGAGGAAACTTCATGCTTTGTGGTGATTTGATTTTGTTAGTTTCAATTTGCATAACATACTCTGCCTTGAAAATTGGTGAGCAAGGTACACATCTTGTTTGATCTCTTACAGAATTTTGTCGTTTCTAGTAGTTATTGCTAGTTGTTTCCTCTTGTTATGAAGCTGACGCTTTCTACCTTCTGATAAACTCAAAATGCAGTAATTTGGGAGTAAGTTAGCACCTTGATCATTCTGCGAGGCTTACAAGAAATGTCACCCATTCGGGGTTTGAGTTCGACGCAGATCATTTGATTGTCCTCTTTGGATCTTGAAAGTTGAATCTTGTTAACTGAACTTGTAAGAAAACACAAGCACTAGTTTGTAAAACCTGGGCATAGGTTTTAAATATCTTCTTTGTTGTATTATATCCTATGCATATGGAATTCACAAGCATTTACAACAATCTAATTTGTGCGGAGTACAAGATTTTAAACTAATATAGCCAAATAATGCTATTCATCATTAGTCGTGATCACGGGTAATGATGATCACGAGTAATGATGAATAGCATTATTCTCTTCCCGTGCCTTTAGAATTTGAAGTACATTGTTGTGTTATGTGTGGCAATAATGACGAACAATACAAAATCAACAAACAGAGAGCAGGAGAGAGAATACACAGATTTACGTGGTACGGAAGTAGGTCTACATCCATCTGAATGAAGCGACTATGATTTTCAATATGCAGAAATAATAAGGTTACATCATATATATACATGGTACAATACCCGTGTATTTTCGAGTTTTTCCTAATATCTTGTATGTACTTTTTCAGTATACATATATTCCACTCTATATGAGCCACATATTATAACATACATTAACCTTAACATTTTCAGGCCTCCCTTTTGTACAAACATTTCAACTCGTTAAGACCAAACATTGTACCAGTTTTCTTCTAATTTGTTCAGATGCTCTTACTGATGCATGCGGTGGGAGATTTTACCTAGCCATTTCAACTAATTGAGACCACAAACCCAGGATTACATTAGCAGAACAACAGGGTACTAAACATTCAATTGTTCTATTTTCCTTTTTTACTCGGACACTGCAAAGTATGAATACACCTTAACTTACTACACAAGTAGAAACCAGCATGTGTAGCTCCTAAGACGTTGCTTCTGAGTGCTAAAAAAATGATTAGTCTACATTTTTGTACCCAAAATTCTCCTGTATGCTATACATTCTGCTAGAAATCACAAACAAAATTGTAAAAGGTTGACCTCTACCAAAATCTAACAATTACAGGAAAAGGGTGGGAAAATAGTACACCCTCACTTCTGCAAAATTAGAATCTTCAATATCCCATTACTTTTGAGGTGAGATTCAGTAAAGGCTGCAAAGCACTGGGGTCAAACTTTCTAGCAAAGAGGTGACAGATAGGTGTGTTTCCAGAGTTGTAAGAGCACAATGTGCCATTTTTCCTAATTGACTGCATGAAACTTTCTGTTATATTACCAGCCATGAAGGTAGCCGGGTGTGGACCTCCTAGTGACCAATCAACGTAAGTCACTGTACGATTAGCATTAAGTGAACCAAAGAACAATTGCAGATAGGTCGGGATAAAATGCTCATCAGGATAGCATGACGGCCTGCAGTACTTCTTGAATAGCGTATAGTATTTGGTGTCTGCTACTATTTTGACAGCCAGAGCACGATTTAGCTCGAACCATTGAGACCCTTTCCTCCAATCAGCAAGTTTAATATCGGGTAGCATATGCCGGCTGTAGCGACCACGCCCGTAACGAGAAGGATCATCGTAAGCCTCGACGAAACTATGGGTGGATCCGGTGAGATACTTGTAGACCGTGAGGAAATTGTAAATTGGAATACAACTCTCTGACAGAAGAATGAATCGCTCATTCGAGAAGTCAAGAAGAGCATTGGCTAAAAGCCGTTTCTCGGCATCAACCAGTGACACCGATCCCCATTTAACATGCTGTAAAGTTGAAAACAAAGGTGAAAATTGTTTACAGAACAGCAATGGCAACGAAAAACTATGATGGTTTCAATGCTGATTATACAGTATATATGAAAGATGGCAAAGTTATAAGAACATATAATAAAGATATAAGATATTACAGCTTTATGATATGGTTCTTGTCCCTCAAGATTTAATATATTGTGCAAAAATATGAAAGATTCAGCCCATAAGCACTTTCCATCAGAATTTGGCGAATTAGCACATTTTAAACGAATTTAAATACTTTGTTCCTGTCAAGAATTCACTACATGTGTCGAAGATGTAGTTGCTCACACCTTAAAATAATAAGGGACTTGGACCGACATAACTGTGTAAAAAGTGGAACTTAAATTTATATATTATCCATCCCTATAATAACATCTTTTCACCTAGGCTTAACCCTCCCCATTGCTAGAATAAATTAATTGAATTGGTCAAGTGTCATGGAAAGTGCATGTTACACGCCCGCATCTAAAACTAAAATGGCATACCACCCAACTGAAAGTGAAAACTATCACAAGAATGGTGTGCAAAGGATTTGATAACAATAAATCATGGAATAGAAGTTGAAATAACTTCCTATGCATCTTTAGGTAAAGCCTCCACAAAAACATTTTTCTTATTACACTAGCAATTTATGCTTGCAAACATATTCCATAAAGGCCCAATGTGTTGTTTAATACCACATCAAGTCTTCTGCAAACATCACGGTTCATGCAGGAGTAATGGAAGAAGATCATTTCCTTCGGTCAAAGTTCTGATGCACTTAACTCGAGAAGATGAACTATTGGTTGTTATTTAACATCAACAAGCTTCAGAATTCCTGATGTCTGAGAATCTTGCCAGTAGCAGAAAATTATTATCTCAGTAACAGCATGCTTGGTCATGGTGAACCAAAGTAGCAGGTACTCCACATTTTCATACGTACATGTACAATATTGGTTGTTTGCTAAATATATAATTTTTGCAGCAAACAAATTGATGGGAATCCGATTAAAGTTATTATATGGAATGCCAAAATTCATCACACTTAAATGCAAGTTACGTTTTCAATATAGTAGAATTGTTTATCTATCAGGGCACATTTGAGGCACCATTGTTGCAATCATTTGTTTATGCAGGCCAGTCTGCTATGCTAGTCTCTTGTACTTCTCATTATGTGAAGCCAGTTGTTATTATTGTGGATGAATTGTAACATATGCTACTTTGGGAAGTTTACTATTGGTATTTGATCAATAAGAAAGATCCTTTCCCTTTATATGCGTTACACCATATGCTGCTATCAAGAGTTTAGTGTGCTTGGTCACTTTGAAGATTGGCCTCCTTGAAGAATGAAGTTGCAATGTATCTCGTAGGAGAGAGTTCTCTCAGTGGGGCAAAATGATGGGATTCCTAGTAGAGATATTATATAGAATACATTTTAAATTGGATACTTATTTTAGAAAAAGCACTTACGATTTTATTTAATAAATTTTCTATTATCTTATTAGTTGTTTTCTACCTAAATCAGAAATTCTTCCGACCTTGTTGGGGGGAGTCACTCTTGCATTGTAATACTAGACTTTGAGATTAAGGGGTTGTTTGAGCCCCATTTTTTTCAAAACGTGCATTTTGTAATAGTGTTATAAATTTATAATGGAAGATGTGTGATTAAAAAATAAGAAAAAAGTTTTGGATTAGTGTGTAATATTATTTTATTGAAAAATGTGTGGTTGGAATGAGATCAAATCACTGTTCAAGAATGTATTTTGATGAAAAAATAGGATCCAAACGAGGGCTAAATAGACCAATGTTTTCTCCCTCTAAATTCTCTCATTCTTTTCTCTTTCTTTCTTAATCTTGTTCTTGTTCGATCATGTTCTACACCACAGATATTGTCCATTAGCCTTATGGGCTTGGGCTCCATTCAGTTTTGAGGGTGACAGAGAGGATGGGAAGGTAGGCGGAAAGGAGTATATATGATTAAGAAAAGCTCCATATAGATTATTATCTTCTCTAACCCTCAAACAGAAAGAAGCCTGATATTAAGGAAGTTCCAATAATTAAGCAAATGTACATATATGTGATGTCAACCGACTTCTCATAAATGAAAGTTCAAATTCTTTCTCCTTTAACCATCCTGTCATATCCCTACTGAATATGTTCAAATTCAATTTCTCCTAGATGTGGCTATCTTCATTCTTTTCACATTTATGTCCGGGACCTAAAAAACTAGATCCACTTGTTCCTCAATTCTTCATGAAATTTTTTGGAAAATTACTAAGGACCCTAAATAACTCATGCCTAGAATATCTTTGATGTTACATACAGTCCAATTCTTTTGTAAATACAGACACTTGAGTAAAGAACTAGAGCATATTCAAAGTCTCCAAAGTAGAGCAAACGGAAGGGAAGGCTTCACATGTTTGCTTCATCATCCGCTTCAACACCGTGCTAGTTGTCAAGAAGAGACACATAGACCAGATATTACCAAGCTTTGTTTGGGTCATGTTGCTCCTGAACTGCCATTATCCTATGCTACCAAACGTTAACCAGGTTTTGACTAATTTTCATCCTAGACATCCCGTATATCACTCAAATAATATTAAAGCACCCCACCACATGTTTTTACTGAATAACAGAGGAAGAAAAGGAGCACAAATCCAAACCTCAGTTTAAATTTTAAAAAAATTCGATCAAGCGCTCAACTTTAGACAAGTGATAAGAATATGGATCCTGAAAATTATGCAGAAAACATTTCAACTATGAAATCAGGTTATCTCAAGATGTTGATTCCAGTCATGATTTCCTATTTCATCTTTCACCTGATGAGGCTGCAAACCAAAATTCCCACACATGGGATAGGCTCAACGCATATTTCTTATCTCTTCCATCTTTTAATCTCAACAAAAAGTAAAAGACTACAAGTAACATTGACTGTTGTCTGTCTTCCTTCCTAAATTCACAAAGAAAATTGAAAAATAAAAAGCTAATGAATATTTTCTCTCTCAGTGCAAGTGACTGCTGTTAACTACACACTTCACAGCTTACACATGAGACTACTCTAACAATCAAAACATAATCAGCACGAGTATCATGCTCGAAGAAAAAAACAAGTTTTTTCTACTAAAATCACATAAGATGCGTGAGATATCATCAGCAGTCAACATAAATTATTGTTATTCACAAAAAGGATTATACCTGACTCGGGATCTGGCGTCTGTAAAAGACTGAAGTACTAGTCACATTGAGCTCAAATCCCGGAAGAGCATGCACATAAATTGAAAATTTGGCATTATTCTGGCCCTTGAAGAACCTCTCCCACAGTGGCAACATTGGCAATGGCCCTCGGGTCAAAAACATGAATGCCACCCGTGGTACTCTGCTAAATGGAAACTCCTCCTTCTGGGGCACCAATGAAGCCCTCCAAAACAACTCGTCATCCGTCATACTGTGGCACAAATTCCGCGGCCTGATGAAACTCTTCATGCTCAAACAATCCTCTTTTTCGCAATTCACCACAATTTGTTGTGTGGTATCTATAGCACCATTATTTAAACTAAACTGTTGGGTTCGAAGTGCGAAATACCGATCAATGTGTGAGCTGGAAGATAGTCCTATAACTACCCCTACCACAAAAATTATCAAAATTGTGATAAGCTTCAGCAGGCTGATAGAAGAATCCTTCGTTACTGATGAATTCGACCAGCTCTCCAGCTCTTCTTTTTCTCTAATTCTCGCCATCTTCTCCTTCTCGTATTTCTTCTTAACTGCTCTTCAGGATTATAATCACCCACCCAAAAATCCCTTTTATTTTCGATTTGGGGCCTAAATTCAAGTGTCCAAAACCAGTATTGATCAAAAGTCTAAAACCCCACTTAAAAAAAATAAAAATAAAAAATCGAAGATTCTAAATATCCAATTCACAAGATCAAATTCGAAAAACCCAGGTCAAAATAAGACAGCAGTCATAGAGCAACAAAATCAGAATCCGGATTCTTCAGAATTCGGATCTTCGAAGGATTAATATATCGTTACCTCCAGAAAAAAGTGGATCAGAAAAATCCCACAAAAAGAAATTTTATGCAACTCCGATGTACAATCACTGAGAGACCGCGAAACGAAAACGGAAGGAGAATCACAGAGGACTGGATTTAGTAAGTGTGGATTTGAGTTTAATACACATTAATGTATCCGTGTATGAATGGGAAAGTTGGATTTGATTGTGTTGGTCGAACAGATTGTAATAATTTGGTTGTGAATGGGAAATAATGGGTCGTGGGCGGCAATTATGAAGTTAGCGTACTTCGAAATTGTCAAATCGTTGTCGCTTAATGCCCCCACCCCACTCCTTACACACATTAATACAACAAAATTGAAGAGGGTTTGACATTGTTCAATTTTTGCTATCTAATTTACTATTTAAATTAATTATTGATATATTATTTTTAAATTAGCACATCATCTCAAATTTGCATTTCATTGACTTTACCATAACCCAACAAATTAATGATATATTAATTTAAAATGACGTGTTAATAATTAATTGAGTGAACAATAAATTTTACAATAAAACTTGGACAGCAAATCTTGACTCACAGCACACCTCTATGTTATTATCTATAAAAAAAGGATGAATCGCATCCTTAGCGGCCCCCACCTGTCCTGTCATGGGCTTTGATGAAGGAGGTAAATCGCAAGTTATGCCTCCAATGGTATATGGTAGAAGACCACTTGTACACTTTCACTTATCCAAGAGTCAAATCCATATTTCAGGATTTGAACCTTTGACGCGGCAGCCTCAAGAAATGACTGTTTGTACACTTGCACTTACCCAAATGCAAAATTCATATTTCAGGATTCGAACCATTGACGCGACTGTCTCAAGTAAAGTTGGAGTTTTTTCACATTCCCCTTTTACTACTTGGAGATGTGCCCTGGGGCCTATGTTATTATCTATATACTTGTTAGAACATTGATTTTGATAAATAAAACAAAAAGAGTAATAAGTGAGGAAATTAGTATTATATCCCCCAATTCGTTTCTGCAAACCCTAATAAGCTATTATTAGTGACGAAGTCGAGATTTTTTATTTGGAAAGTTCAACAATGATCGATGGTGCAAAGATATTCGACGATCAATAGTGTAGCGGTAGTTAATAGATGACTATGTCTGAAGTAAATAATAAAGTTATTGAAAATGAAAATGAATAAAATGCTTATATGTGAAAGACTAAGTTATGTGTCAAGTTTATTGCTTTACCAACTTTATCTATCCAAAAATTAGCTTGTGCATTCATGTGGGGAAAATTTAACGCTAATGCTAATTAAATTATGTATAAAGAAAAAATAAATAAACAAATGGAACTTAGAAGATGAGGATTGAAAAGTTTGATTTTAAAAGTTGGACAAATATTTAGTTCTAAAGGTTGGGGACTAATTGCACAAAAAAGGAGCATTGTTGCCCTCGACTTGCCCAAATGCACCAAAGCGGCACGTATCATGCCTCTATGAGCCCTCAATCGATGCTTTCTACTAACGGCATGGCCATCCGATGAAGCCTCACTAAGTTTGCAGGGCTCGCTGCTAAGTATGTAGGGCCGGCCATAGGCCAGAGCCAAGTTGCGCCAAGGGCCTTTAATTATGAGAGGCCTCAAATTGAAAGAAATTACATGAGGAAATTACACCTACACCTGCTTTTAGATTTTCATTTTCATAAATCCTATCATAAGTTTAACTTTTCAATTATCAGGTTTTTATATTTAATTAATATTAATTATATAATTTTCGATCCAATTAAAATCACCAAAATCAAACCCTAAAATTCATTTCATCCTCCATCCCATTCTCTCTCCTCCCTCCCATTTGTCTCCTCCCCGTCGCTGTGGCCAGACAACGCCGCCTAAGGTCCTACCACTCGCCGNCAAATTCAAAAAAGTGACAGAATAAAAAAATTGACAAACACTCAAAAAGTGACAAAAATCAAAAGAAGTGAAAAGTGACAGAAATTAAAAAAAAATAACAAAAAATAAAAAAATTGACACTAAGAAAAAGTGACAAAAATTCAAAAAAGTGACACACTCAAAAATTGATAAAACAACAATCAAAACCTATATTTGTCACTAAAAAACTGACAAATTTTAAAAAGAAGTAACATACAATAAAAAATGATAGAAATTTCAAAAAAGTGACTAACACTAAAAAAAAATAACACAACACTGATCAAAACCTTAAAATATCATTTTTTTTTTTTTTTTTACAATGTCACTTTTATTAAAAAGTGGTAACGGAAATTCAAAAAAAGTAACAAACAGTAAAAAAAAAAAAAAGGAATAGAAAATATACAATGCATACCTATATTTTGCTTACATAGATGATCCCAATAGGGTTTCTTTAGATTACGTGCTTTTCAACCTTAATTTAGAAATGATTGACCATAACACAAAGTTACGTTATGACAACATGTTATATGCACAAGTAGATGTTGTAATATTTGCCAGGTCTAAAATGGGGTATGAAGGGATAGAAGCGATGGTATCAGAAACGGGTTGGCCGTCAAAAGATGATCAGGATGAAAAAGGGGCAACTGCTGAGAATGCAGCAATATATAAGCGGAATTTGTTTAGAAGGCAACTAGAAAATGGACACCTTTTAATAAAATGTGACATTATTTCAACATCTGAATGCAAAGCTCATGGGCGTCCTCCAACCTCCTCAATCTTCCCTTTACAAGGCCCCTGGGTCAAAACCCCATAACTAAATGCATTTGGAATGATCCCATTACTCTGCATTTCTTAAAATTTCATACTATATCTTCAAGCTTCTGTGCCTTGAAAAGCCTTCAACTACAGTAGTGTAGACAACCACTTCCGAAATAGTACTCTTCGCACGCATTAACCTAAAAAGCTTCATTGCCTCTTGCACCAACCCATATTTACATAAGCCATCAAGCATCGCCATGGTATTTGGGATCAACCCAATCAAACCCAAGCTTGAATACTGCCAGAAAATCATCCACTTCACTCATCACAGAACTAGATTTTCCATTTTCCCAAAAACAAATGAAATTTGGGAATCTGGCATTTTGGGAAAGGTAGGATTGCCTTTTTCTCAACTCGACCCTCAAGGACAAATTTGTTTTTCAATTTTTGAAGTTTCAAGGCATCATAATAATCCAACACCACATGGTTGCTCAAAACACCCTTCGGACCTCCTCTCTGCTTCCTCATAAGATCTTTGAGTGCGTCACTAGACATCGCCAGGATGGTGATGGTTTTCCATCTGTTGATGTCGGAGGAAGAAGCATTTTTGGTCAAAAGATTGTTAAAATTGCTGAATTTCAGGAATCTTCCGAGAAGCCTGGTGATGTTGAAGGTTGTGGCGATCGAGATCAAGATGAAGCGGTAGAGAAATATTAGAGTGACAGAGACATGGCAAGAAATCATCTTTTATAACGTATTAATTACGTTTTAAAAGGATTTAATTAATTAAAAGAGTACAAATCAAATTGCTTAATTTTTTAGGGTATTGGACCTAATTTGTCCAATAACTAATTAATAAAAGATGATTTACTTAAAAATTCATTTAATGATAATTTTTTTAGTAATTATAACTTAGTTCGAGCTTATTCAAAATATTTTTTTTTAGTTTAATATACATGATTAATTATAAACTATCAAATTAGTCCAATATTGTTACGATAATATGGTTTAAGTTGAAAACTAACATTTCATTAGTATCTTACTTTAATGAGTTTATAACTACAAATTAATTTATTCAAATTAACTTTTTCTCGAATTCATAATGTGCCATTTATTTCGAGTTTCGAAATGAGTTCAATATTGGTATGATAATTTTCGATCCTCCAATAAATACTCATTTGGTCCAAATACATTATTGACTTAGAAATTTATTTTTACTTTAATCCCTCAAGATCTCAAAATTATTAAAAGATTCTCAATTCAAAATCCTTAGAATCTAGTTATTTTTTCATCTATCTCAAGTGTTCATATATATATTTTTTGCAATCTAATCGCTAAATTCTCAAATTTTCTGTATCTAAAACCCCATCTTGAGTTTAAGCACTGAAAATCACTTTTCTCTTTATGAGTCATCATTCTCAAAACTTCAAATTACTGCTATTAAAACTTTCTCAAAAACTCTCTAAACTTTCGAAAATTCGTTAGTTTGTACCTTACTCGAGTTTCTCAATTAATAATTCCTATAGATTATTGCTTACTGTCTGATAATATTTTTTTCGTCAAGGTGATGATGCTGCAAAATATTACGTCATCCTAATCTCTCAAGTTGTCAGAGACAATTTTTTTCTAATTTATCTTTTAAATTATACAAGGTTTTCGTTTAAAATATAAATATATTGTTTATTTAAATATTTAATCATTTTTACACTTGAAAAAAAAAAATTATGTCTAGTGCCCCAAAATTCTTAGGATCGGCCTTGAGAGTACGTCTATTTTTAATCCTCTATCGTCCCATAAAAGAAACAAATCCCAAACAATATTAACCAAGTACCAACAACTTTTTACCTTCGAAGGATTCCTTAATTAAATTAACACAGAATAGTAAAGTCTGCTTTCATGTAGACGAAATTGATTTATGATTATAAATTGTGGTGCGCGTTCGGGCATCATGCGTGCGTGTGTGTGTAGCTTGCTTGCTGTGAGCATCCATGGGCATTGATTTTGTTTTATAACCCGACTCGATACGCAAACATGGGCGGATCCTCCCCAACTTTTGAGATTTTTTTTTTTATAAAATCGTGTTTGGTATCGATTAAAATCTGAATTTTAATCTAAATCAAATTTAACAATTAATGTTAATAACATATTTCATGAAATTCATAACTGTTTAACTTTTATCAAAATTTACTAAAAAAATGATTTTAATATCCACCAAACATAGGCAAAATCACAATAAATTTAAATTTTGATAACATGCTAGTTTTTAAAATTATTCGACGATCGTACGCCAATCGAATTTACAAATTGCTTATGTCATCTCAAAAGTTAGTTCGAGAACTACATTATGGGCATATCGAATAGTCTAAACAGATATCGAAAATAGTTAAAAATATATTAAACACGAGTCTTAAAAAAAGACGTCTAACTCTTTTTTTTTTTAATTCAATTATTTCATTAAAATTTATTATTTTTGCGATACAAATTTCTCAATATAATTTTCATCATTTTATTAGGAAATTTTATATGAAATATGACATCAAAAATTTTCGAAATTTTACATCCGAAAAAGTCATATCCCATGTAAATTTTCGGATGTAAAATTATATAGGGTATGACTTTTTGAACGTAAATTTTCGATTGTAAAATTTCTCCCAATTTCTTTACAAGTTCGATTGTGCCCCCTTAATTTTTAAAGTTTGCGTCCGCCCCTGTACGCATAGGCTATGCATGAAGTAATTTTGCTTCCATTTCAAGAGCTTTGCATTGGTATACTGCTTTATGCATCCTGAGATTTTATAGGGCACTTTCAACATTTGTTTGTTAGTGTTTGTCATCCAATCTAAATCTTAGAGCCTTTCGTGTTGCTAATTTTACTGATGATCCTTCGATACAATATCTACTACTGGATATTGCAATTTCTGTAGTGATTCCTTGGTCTCTTGAAAACATAAGAAACAATTAGTGATAGCTAGGTCTTCTGCAGAGTTTGAGTATGGAGCTATGAGATCTACTGTTTTTGAAATCATTTGGTTCAAGTGGCTACTTGATGAGCTTGGTTCCCTTCAACCTGATGCTATGCAATGTAACGTGACAATCAAAGCGCCATTCAGATGGCTAAGAACTTGGTTTTTCACAAATGCACGAAGTATATCGAGATTGATTATTATTTTATACTTCATCGTTTTTTGCTGGCTTCATCTATCTTCTTCTTCACGCCACATTGTATGAAAATTCCAAAAAAAGTGGTTGACGAAAAAAATATGTTTTTTTTAAACTATCCAATTATATGCCGACACGTGGCACAATGTAAGATAAGATATACATGTAGCATTATTGTTTTTCTTCACAATACATTATTTCTAAATTTATAATTATAGAGTTGTTACATGAAAATTTACCGAATGTTTACATCCAACTACACCTAAAGGAGGGTGAATATGTATATATTGCGGAACTAAAATAATCAATCAATAAAAAAAATAACTCATTTATTTATTATTTCTATATGATTAAGTTTAATATCAAATTAAACCCCGAGTGTCAATCATGTATTATAGATCAAAAGAATAGAAGTAAAGAAAAACCAAATTTGATAATGAAGAAAAACCCTTGAAGAACTCTTCACGGGGATAAAAAAACCTCGGGGCAAACGTTACAATAGATCCACTTCAAAAGATAACTTGCAATTGATCCTAACACAACTAAATCTTAGTAAACTCTGACCATCCGATATGTAAATTATCGAAAAACCTCTTCAATTATGTAACTAGCACTTTTCAGAACTCGGAACTTCTTTTCCATCTGTGTGAATCACCAAAAATGAACTCGTTCTGGAAGAATTGGAACTCCAGCGGTCTCTTTCCAACTTTAAAACTCCGATGGCTTATTGATGAAGGTAATGATTTTTGGTGTTTGATCTCGTGATTGAATCAAGAGAATTATATATTATGTTTATGATCTTCAGATGATGTTCTCTTGTATGAAATAATTTATCAACACAACATTTGGGACGAATTATACTTGGAAATTAATAATATGGAGAGTTTGAGGTTGAATCGAACTGTAAAATAACCTGAAAATTGCGAACAGATTTCTATCGGATGACACCAATGTTCGAGCGATGGACTCAAGGTAGCGTGCAGTCCATTTATCGCTCGAGCGCTTCTTGAGCGGTTAGCGAGCGATTTTGTGGCTATTTTTTCTCCTTTCGATCTTTGATTTCTTTGACTCCTATAAGATATATATTATGAACCCTCGATCATTTGACTTTAATTAAAATTCAATAACTATGATTTTGAATATGAGAATAGCCAATACAATTTGAACCTAAGGTGACTGAGAATGAGCACGAACGAGGTCTTCGGTACCTGAAACAAAGGCGTCGAAGTGTGTCTTCGTCGCCTCTCCGATACTTAAGTCAGAGAGGGAATTTGTGAAAAGATATATGTTGATAATGGTGTAAAAACGTACCTAAATAATGACTCAAAGTGCTATATTTATACAGTAAGTAGTGCTTTCCTAGTAGGACTAGGTTATTCGAACTTCCCATAGTCCNGAAGTCATAACTTGATCCTCCTTGTTCCATAAAGGTGTTTGAAAAGGGATAGAACTCTACTGATTGAGTCCTTCCTGGGTGGACTAGGAACAGTAGGATTCAACTTCTTTGTAACTAGATAAGTTCTATCTAATTGGAGAGTCCATAATGAAACATGAGTTATCAGATGCGAGGCTAAGGCATGATCTTGAGGATGTCCCAAGCTAACGGGCAAACATAATTCCCGAGGAGACATCCCGACAAGGTCTATGATTATGGGATGTCATATCATGTGCTCGAGGACCATCATGTCCGAGGTACCTTGATCGAGGAGGGAAGTCATAATTGATGAGAACGTATCCTCGGGATTAATGCTCGGGTTGTGACAAATAACGGGATAATCAATATATAGAAAAGGATTGTTACCATATAGAAAAGGAGTTTGACATTCGCATTTTTTTTTGTGAAGTCAACGACCCATTTAAATATAATTGGTGATAATTAAATAGCTAACATATACATGTGTTTAGAGACTTAATTAACAAGAGTTATGAATAGGTCATTTGTTGTCATGTCTTACACATTTGTGCACATCCTTTGTTGCATATTGGGCTCAATCAACCAAGAAATCCAGGCTAAAAAACAACCAAAATCGACACCACACGCGCAAGGCTCATCCCGATACTTCCCTCCACCGGTTGCCTCAAGTTTAGAAGAATGGTTACCATATAGAAAAGGAGTTTGACATTCATGTTTTTTTGTGTGAAGTCAACGACCTATTTAAATATAATTGGTGATAATTAAATAGCTAACATATGCATGTGTTTAGAGACTTAATTAACAAGAGTTGTGAATAGGTCATTTGTTGTCATTTCTTACACATTTGTGCACATCCTTTGTTGGATATTGGGCTCAATCAACCAAGAAATCCGGGCTCGGAAACAACCAAAATCGACACCGCACACGCAAGGCTCGTCCCAATACTTCCCTACACCGGTTGCCTCAAGTTTCACTCTTCTATTAACCCACAAAAGGATCAAGAATGATGTATGCAATTAACCCACAAAGGAGGGAAGAAGAAAAGGAAACAATGGCTCCACAAAATCACCAAGAACGGCTCCCTTCTAACTTCACACGCAATTGCACCACGCTTAACGTTTTGGAAAAGATGGGCATATATATCAATTGGTTAGGTCACAAATAATTGGGCCAAAGAACCAATTGAATGGACCAACTTAATAACATGGTAAATTGGTCTAACGATAATCCAAAACCACAAACTAATCACAGCCACCAATCCATCTCCAACTTGGACCTTCCAAAAGTGTCGGTAGTATTCGAGTCGAGCCAAGTTTATGGTGTCGATAAATTTTCGTCAATTATTTTTCATCATCGTCCAAATTTATTGGGTATCAATACCCAACATCGTTCAATCTCACTTCTCTTCAATGTATCCATCTTTCAGGATCTGATATTTGATTTTACTGTTGATTTCTTGATATGATCGGATTATATGACAACCAGGACTTGATTACGAAAATTATATATATATGTGCATTCGTTATTTTGAAAAAAAAAAAAAGTGATGTGGCACCTTTTAACGAAACTCTTCTTTTTTTTGGTTCCCTCTCACGGGAGGCAAATGATCCCTTTTAAAGGTGAGGCTTCCCCACCAAACTGCACGAGACACTTAAAGCTACAATATTTCTTTCTTGTGATGTGTGATATTTGAGCAGCAAGATTACTGATGGTTGGGAGGACAGTGATCGAAGCATAATGATTGCCTAGGATTGATCTTCGATCCTAAGTTGTCTTGTCAAATATTACGTTTAGTCCTCGAGGGTCGCGATGATACAAGTAGGGAGACAAATCGTCTTTTGTGCAATCATTAGTTCTCTCATTCTTCATCTCCAACGTTGAGGAATGAAACCAGCTATGATAGTTCAACTCAATAATTGCAATGTAGAAGTAATAGTTGCACTCAATAAAAGACCCTCCTAAATGGCCCAAATTCAGCAATATGGAGCGACATCTTTCCCCTCCATCTTCTTTGAGGGAGTCGTTATTAGTATCCTTCGATCCTTGTGAGTTCGACACACCCCTCCACCTCCATACAGTAAAGGCTTTATAAAATAATAATGTTGGGATCGAGAGGAATTATTATTTTAGATGGGATTATTAATTTATCAATAAATGAATAGTTATTAATTTATGGTGTATTTTATATTTTCATAATTTGTATTATATTTCACAAAAATACATGTGGATTAAAAAAAAAAAACATTGAGCGTGGTGAAATTCAAAATTTAATCCGTAGACACACACACACATACATACATTAAAGAATAAACATTAATGTAAATACGTTGCCTTCAAAGTTTAATATTTTGGAAGATTAATCGTTTGTTAATTTGTATCAATATGAAATTAAAAATTGTTAGTTTGTTAAAATTAGGGATGGAGTAGATGCATATTTTGAAAAAGAGACAAATTGAAAAAACTGTTGTCAAATTAAAAGTTTATTAATTTGTTTTAGTTTGAACTTTTATAAATTTAAACAGTTATTATTTTATGTATTTGTTGAATCTTGAAGGATTTCAAAAATAAAATAAAATTATTATCATATTCATTTAATATGATTATTAATTTAGTACATTGGTCCAAGTTGGGATCGAAGATTTTTATTACTTAAACATGATTATTAATTTATCGAGGTTTTACTGTACCTATTTCGCTCCTCTTGGATTGAGGTATCTACATTCAATTTAGCCCGTGTTTGTTGGATATTATTGTGTAAAAATGATGTTTTGAATAATGATTTTTTTGGAGAATGTGTTGTTAAAAAGTTTTGAATTTACGTGCAAAATATTTTAGTTTCTACTTGACAAGCATTATTTCAAAACATCGATGCGGCAACACCATATGTTGCCACGTCAACAGTTGGCTTTTAAAATTATTCATCAATCGTGGATGTGGTAATACCAAGTGTTGCCGCATCGACTACCTACCGTGGACATGAGATCAAATCTGCTATTTAATTTAGGATAAAGCTGTTTGTACACCAGATGTATGTACACATGTCTCACATGAATAGTATGCGCGAATATTTTATTGTATGTGGGACCCCCTTCATGTGAGAGATGTGTAAAAGATTGTATAAATGATTATGTACATGTAGTATGATTGTTTAATTTATATTATAATCACACACACATATAGACATACCAGCCAGAAGCATCCACGTACAACTATGTCTTACCTGCATTCACGAAAAGTAAGAGAAAAAGTAAAAGGCAATACTGGTTGTGGATTGTGGCGTGAATGATAAGGACGGGTGGATCACGTTTCAACTTATTTAAAATATAAGTACTTATGAAACTATGTTTGAATAATAGAATTATTACATGGTGCGTGAGATGTGTACCGCTATACATAAATTAATTAACTTGTATAGAATGACGCGGTACATACTTTTTTGGCAGAGCATGTTCGGATACATTGTCTTTTACGAGATCGAGATCACATTTTACAAAAAAATAAATAGTCTAGACCAACGAGAATATCACATAATCATCCTTAATGTTTGATATTAGGTTGACAGCTAGAGTGTATTCATGTTCTCGATGGTTTTTCTTTCACCATGTGAAATGTCTTAATAGACTGACTTGCTCGTACAATCACATTTGAGGATATCGCATATGTATATTAGCTTGATATTGAAAAAGCTATTGAACTTTTGAGTTCAGCGTTAAATCTGTTGTTAAACTATGACTTACTGATTCGTTATATGTTAAATGGATATAATGGAGCTTCTCATTAGTCGATTTATCGCAGAGGTAATTTGTCGATAATTTGTTGAATATTTGGATATCTCTATTAAATGTCAAATAGCCATCCCAAAAGTAATCAAGATGATCATCTCATTGAAGGGCTCTAGTGATGTAACCACTAGACTGTCTTTGTTGTGCTCGTTCATGGACGCTTCCCATCTAGCAGATTTGTTGATGCAAAAAATAGTTAATTGGTCATTTTATAGAATAGTTTCCGCTCGATATCGATAATCATCCATTGAATGATCAACAAGTCACCCCCATATGATTTTGGCTATCTCTACATCCTTCGTCAACAAAATATCATTTACAGACTTTATCCAATAATCTCTACGGCAATAGAATTTACCATCATGCTCCATGTACCAAAATGTTTGGCAATTTTTTTTGGCAGATTGTCTGCGGACAATATTAATTGGACATTGGACGATACACAAAGTTAATAGAGTCATGCTTGATATACACTCTTTGCATGACATTCTTCTCACAAAGGCGAGGGGTCTGTAATTTAAAAAATCATCGGCCCACACTCTTTTGTGAGAGGAATGTCAAAGTTAATATACACAAAAGTGTACAAATAGATTTTCCCAAGTTAATAAGTTGATGCAGTTTTGCCACGTCATCATCTATAATGCTATATTTCATCTGTAACTTACCAAAATATCGGAGTAACATCAAAATCCTAGCAAATCAAATCCTTCTCTCTTCTTAATAAATCAAACTTTAACCATAATTAATCTCCTTTTAATCAGAACCCGGTTGCTTCATCTAATTCGATGCTTCTATCAATGTGAATACTTACAAATTATACGTATTTTTCTATTTATATCATTATTTGTCCGTAGTAAATAGTAGCTCAATATCACGAATTTTCGATCTGAAATTGTGGTGAAATTTGATTATTTCTTTATTTTTTTTGTTGAGAATTTCGAAGAATTGATGGATGAAAATAGTTTTAATTTTAATCATGGAAATGACATTGAACATGATGGAGAAGGAGGTGCGTTTTTGGAAAGAAGGGAGAGTAATACGTCGACGTATTCTGATAGAGAAGGAGCCGTTAGAGAGCCGTTGCTGAAGAGCAGGGTCAACACAACATCTCAGATTGCTATTGTTGGCGCCAATGTTTGCCCAGTTGAAAGTCTCGATTATGAGTACGAAATGAATTTTGCTAACGTTCTAAATTTCTTGTCACGGTTTTTCTGGTGCTTATTTGAGGTTCTTGATTCAGAATTTGTTTTGGAACTCTATATTTGATGTACTTCTTTCTGTACGGTATGTAGTTTGTGTATTTTTGTTACATATTGTCTTTTGCTCTGGATAATTCATTCCGTTTGTGCATTTCATATTCATTTTTCCGTTTTTAAATTTATAATCTGTAGAAAAAGGGCTTTGGGCCCCTGTGGTTCAACTAGACAAACCAGCAAGTGTGGTATGGGATGCAAGGTCAACATCTTGTGTAATTGATGAAAGATATGTATTAGGCAAAGCTCTATTGAGGTCATTCATAGCAAACTTGACTTTGCTTCTTTCTACAAAATAAGCGCATTTTTTCCCAAGATTGGCCATAACTTTTGTCTTTTTCTTTGCAGTAAGATCCTTCTTACTGCTCTTTCATAGCTTTTAAGCTAAGCCAAACATGCTCTTAATTTGTTCATGGGAAGGATCTTTTTGGGTGATTGTATGTCACATAGAAAGAAACGATTTTACTATTTTGACCCTCTTTTTACCTAAATTATTGTCAAATTTTATTTTTTTCTAAATTTTGCTTTAGATTTAAGGGATTGCCGATTCATCTCAGTTTAATATCATTAAACAAACATGTTTCTATACTTTTTGAGATCATAAGGTAGCTGGCTTCAAATAAGGATTGGAAAATGTTTTATTGTTGATTTGAGTTTGCCTGCATGGGAAAAAGAAATTCAAGCTGGCAGGCGGAAAAAGACTTTATGCAAAGAAGACCATTGGTTGGGTACAACATGATTTTTGAATGAAATGTGATGCTAATCGTTACAAGTTCAGTTACTTTATCTTAGCTGAACTATTATTTTTTTAATGCTTAATGCTGTCTCATCTGTTTTCCCTTTTTATAATTTTGGCTATAGTTAGTAAATGTTGACACAGTTCCTAAACTAGTAATATGTGGTTCAGTCCATGATCCAAAGTTATGGTTCCCATTTTGCCTATTTTGGCTATACCAGTTTTGTTGTTGTACTACTGCCTATTTTGATCTCATGTATTTAATTCATTGTCCATGAATGAGTTTATTATTGTTTCCATTAGTATCAGCAGCAGCATTTCTTTATGAATTTGAACATAGTTTTCATTTCTTCTATAGCATAAATGTAGTAGTCATTATATTCAGAAAATTAATAAGGTTTGAGTTTCCAATAAAGAGATCCTACAACTGTAGGAATGTAGTCTGATCCTGAAACTAATTGTCATTCTTCTTGGGTTCCATTGACTGGTAAAGGTTTGATGTGATTGGAATTATGTTGGTTAGCCTCGTGGTGTGACTAATACAAATAAACATTTTTTTATTTCAGACTGTTGGCGTCATCATAAAAGTTGCTTACTCTACATGCAAGGTTCTTGATGTTCCGAATCCGTCTAGTAAGACAAAGGACTTCCACTTTACTCACTGGTATGTTCTTTTGCAGGATCGCTGAAAATGAACTATTTAAGCAGGATTGGAGGTCTAGGAAAAGAGTTCAAATATTTCAGTATGTTATTCTCAAATGGGCTCTTGCTCTTCTTATTGGATTTAGCACAGCTCTTGTTGGATTCTTCAATAACCTTGCTGTTGAAAATATTGCCGGTCTCAAGCTTCTGCTCACCAGTAATCTGATGCTTGCGGATAAGTAAGTCTAACTTTACTCGGCACTGCATATTCTAGGTTCATATAAAATTCAACAAGTTTTCTGATTAATCTCGGGGGACATTTGGTCCTTGGTGCAAGATTATTGGCATTATCACATTGTGTCAATTGCTATGTAACTTGTGGTTTCTAATAGCTTGCCCCTGATATCATCCATTATATTATCTAGCAGCTGCCAAAGGTGGTGCTCTCATTTCTGCCGTGTGCCATTATTCTGTGATTGCTCTTTGTGGTTATGCAGTACATTTAACATGATAGGAACTGATGTTGAACAATCCTATTACAAATAGGATAAGAATTACAAGGATTTTGTTTCTTGTTTAAATTAGGGATTTTTCCTTCCTTTTAATTGTTCGAGGTTTCTTAATTCTACTTCTTTTAGGTTTTTAGTTTTCTTTCCTTCCATGGTATTGTTTCCTTGTACCATTATCATTAAAAGTTTAGTTCTTTCTTTGCCTAGATAAGAAGGGGCTGGGCGTCTTTTATATTAATCGATTCATTATAATCAAACTATTCCCTATAATTTTTTGAGTTTTTCATTTTTTTCTTGTTTCAAAATTTTTAGTTCCGTTTCCTCACCAAAATTGGTATCAAAGCAAGATTTTGCCCATGGCTGATAGCCATCTAGGTAGTAGTGGTATGCATTCTCGAAACTATGTTTGGAGGATTGCAAACCTATCAACTTCGATCTAGAATCTGGAACAAGGATGGATAGGTTCTAAGATGTTACTGACAAAAAAATTGCAGATTTGGACTGCTATGAATTTGATCGCTTAAACGGGCCCAGAACATTGTAACAAATGGCTAGAGATTTTTCTCGAGTCCAAGCTATGTTCGAATCTTCACAATGTGATGGCAAAATTTTTGGAGTATTTTCCTCCAAATTGATTAATTTTCTCTTCTTCAACCAAAGTCGATGAAAAGTTTTTCAAATGGGGGAAATAGAAAAATCCTATTTAAATGGGATAGAAATTATTTATTGTAGAAGGATTTTGTTTCCAGTTTAAATTATGACTTTTTCTTTCCTTTTAATTCTTTTAAGCATCTTAATTCTACTTCTTTTAGGTTTTTAGTTTTATTTTTTTTGTGATATTGTTTCCTTACTCCCTTATGAATTGGAGTTGCGTTCTTTCTTTGCCTATATAGGAAGAGGTGGACATACTTTGTAATAATCAATTAATTAAAATCAAATTATTCTATATAAATTTTCAAGTTTTTCAAATTTCTTATTGTTTCAAGAATTTTAATTCCACTTCTGCTCCAGGAACACAGCTTTAGCAGTTCTCAGGTTGAGCTGCATTTTATTTTTTATAGACGCTCTGCTTCATTGCGTTCAGAGATTGAATCGTGGAAGTGTAACATTTTTGAATGGGATGGAAATTTTTTATTCTAATTGCACAAAATACATACTCATCAGGAGGCGTTGATCTTTTTAAATGAATAAATTTGTCTGCAAAAATTGAACTTATTAACGAATCTTTTCAGAAACATTTTCAAAATAAATAAGGAATGGAGAATTTCTATGCCTTGATTTCTCAAGCACGTTATTGTTGCTATCATAATATGATTGGTAATACGATAAAAACATCTCCTTCTGGACAATAACCATACTCAGTCAATCTCTTTTACCTTTTTAAATATGATGAAATATTGATTCCAGCGCAGGCATTGTCAGGCATTTGCAGCATTTGCTGGTCTCAATATGATTTTGGCCATTTGTGCTGCAGTGCTATGTGCACTCATTGCCCCTGCAGCTGCTGGGTCTGGCATACCTGAGGTGAAAGCCTATCTCAATGGTGTGGATGCTCATTCCATTTTGGCTCCAAGCACCTTATTAGTCAAGGTTGGTATGGATCTTCCTGTGATGCTCCTACTTTTGTCTTTTGTATCTTACTTTCCCAATATACACATTTTTCCCTTGCCAAACTTAAGTGGAATACTGTGGTATTTTCTGTGAGCGCGAGAAGTTACCTCTACATCGTGTAGGGCCATTCAACAATTGAGCCCTTGGCCCTACTACGAACTGAGAAGGAAACTTTTGGGGAGGTTTTTTCATAATACTCCCACCTGCTGGAATTGAAGGTTTTCTGTCTGAATTGGCACAAAATTTTAGTGAAAGTTGAAGAAGTGAATTGTTTGTGTAACTTTTCGTTTTTCTCTTCATAAGTAATGATCGGGAATCTTCGTCTATCACACCATGTACTTAAAGAAGTTGCTGCTGTCCTTTAACCATGGCGTCCTTTGCAAATGTAAATAATTTGCTGCTGTACTCCTTTGAAAAAATTGCTTATAATTACAGATGGATATGGGGCATAGTTTACCAAAATTGCAGAAACTTGCATATCTTACTCAATGCATGGCTATCATCTAGAGAATTCATATAGTGTCTAGTCTTACCTGTATTCGAACTTTAATTTTCCGATCCATGGTAGTGTATTGGACCTGCTTTGTGAAGTTTTACCACCCTGGAATGCACCAGGACCAAAGCATGTACCTGAATTAGTCCCAATGTTCTTTAAGAGACAATAATTTGGTTTATAATATGAAGCTTTATGTCTCGGCTAACCCAAAGCATTAGTTGGTCAGATTTCATTATGTTGCACTTCTACAGGTTGTGGAGTCAAATGCAATCTTTCAATCTGTTTCACAGTGTTTTCAATTCCTATCTTAAGATTAAATATCAGTGGCTAATGCTCATTGGTCATTACAGATGCCACGAACTCGTGTTTTTCATTTTCAAGGCATTGGTACCATTCTTTATTTTATGTGAATTTTTTACTGCTGATTATATTTTGTTCATCTGTAATTCTTTCCTTTGTTCCTTTTTATTGCTTAATGTGTTACTTTATTGTTTACGAATATTCTTTTTATAGTCTTAGTCTTTGATAAACTAAAAGGACCTTTTAATTTATTTTCTCGATTCCATGACAACTTTTGTATTCAATACTACTAAAATACGCCAAACTTTTATAGATTTTTGGTTCCATTTTTGGAGTTGCTGCTGGATTTGTTGTGGGCAAGGAAGGACCTATGGTGCACACTGGTGCCTGCATAGCAAATTTACTTGGACAGGGAGGCTCTCGCAAATATCATTTAACCTGGAAATGGCTCAGATACTTTAAAAATGATCGAGATCGCAGGGATCTGATTACTTGTGGAGCTGCTGCTGGTGTGGCTGCTGCTTTCCGTGCACCAGTTGGTGGTGTTCTTTTTGCTCTTGAAGAAGCAGCCTCATGGTCTCTCTCTCCATCCAATCAGTGCATGTCCTGTTGTTGCCAACATGTGTTCTGCTCTATTTAATTTCAGCATATACTCTATTGCATTGTTAAAGTATTCACATCACGATTTTACTCTGCCTTGATATATGCTATTTTTAAGAAAGAATTTGAGAGGCATCTGAACTTTACTGTTGAAAAATATCTAAAAACCTATGCCACTATAATAATTATTTGAACAATCTGATTGTAGATGTGGGTTTTTTTTTTTGGGAGCTCATTTTGTAACATTAGCAGGTTTTAGCTTGTGTTAATTCCTTCATGTGCTCAGTTTGAGGAACTAATTTTTTTCTTCCGTGGTATTAGGTGGCGGAGCGCTCTTCTTTGGAGGACTTTCTTCACAACCGCTGTTGTAGCTATGGTTTTGAGATCTCTCATACAATTTTGTAAGAGTGGAAACTGTGGATTATTTGGACACGGAGGTCTGATCATTTTTGATGTGAATTCAGCAATCCCTTCTTATAACACTCCCGATCTACTCGCAATTATGTTAATTGGAGTTCTTGGAGGCATTTTGGGAAGCCTTTACAATTATCTTGTGGATAAGGTCCTTAGGACATACAGCATCATTAATGAGTATGCCTGTTATGGAAATTACTTGCCCGATATAGATCGCTCCTCTTCCTCTTCCTTATGGAATACTTTGTTAATCTCTTGTGCTAGTAATGTTATCAATTCCGCCACCTTGAGACTAATCTGGTGTCTGTTTCTTCTGAATCCCATTTTTAATTTTTGTTCATAATCATGGGAAAGATGCATGTTTTGCAGAATCGTGTTTTCTCCAATACACTTTGATTTCTTATAATTATTTATTGAAATATATTTAATCCTTTGCTGATAATTATCAATTACTTGTAGGAGAGGTCCTGCTTTGAAGATCCTGCTTGTCATCGTCGTTTCTCTTCTAACTTCTTGTTGTGCTTACGGCCTTCCATGGTTTGTAGCATGCACTCCCTGCCCCACTGGCTTGGATGTGCAGTGCCCCACAATAGGACGTTCTGGCAACTACAAAATTTTCCAATGTCAGGAAGGGCACTACAATGATCTTGCCTCCCTTTTCCTTAACACCAATGATGATGCCATCCGTAATTTATTTAGTTCAAGAAACAAAAACGAATTTCATTTCTCCTCGCTATTTATTTTCTTTACTGCTATGTTCTTCCTTGGTGTTATTACCTATGGTATTGCCATACCTTCTGGGCTCTTTATTCCTGTCATACTTGCTGGAGCCTCGTATGGGCGCCTACTTGGGAGACTCTTGGGATCTTTTGCCAGTCTTGATGTTGGTCTCTTTGGTCTTCTTGGAGCTGCTTCCTTTCTTGGTGGGACCATGAGAATGACAGTATCTCTTTGTGTCATACTCCTGGAACTTACTAATGATCTATTGATGCTCCCATTAGTGATGCTTGTTCTTCTTATTTCAAAAACTGTTGCAGACAGTTTCAACAAGGGTGTATATGACCAAATAGTGAAGATGAAGGGTTTGCCGTACATGGAAGCCCATGCTGAACCGTACATGAGGCAGCTTGTCGCTGGAGATGTTTGCTCTGGCCCCTTGATTTCATTTTCCAGTGTTGAGAAAGTAGGTAACATAGTGCATGCTCTGAGGATGACCAGGCATAATGGATTTCCTGTGATTGATGAGCCACCATTCACTGATGCACCAGAATTGTGTGGCTTGGTTTTGAGGTCTCACTTGCTTGTTTTACTGAATGCAAAAAAGTTCACAAAGAACCGGGTCTTGATCAGATCTGAACTTCTAAGGATGTTTCATGCTTTTGATTTTGCAAAGCCAGGATCTGGAAAGGGGCTTAAGGTTGAAGATTTGGACATCAATGAGGAGGAAATGGAGATGTATGTTGATCTCCATCCAATTACTAATACATCTCCATACACAGTAGTAGAGACTATGTCTCTGGCCAAAGCTGCTGTCCTCTTTCGGGAACTTGGTCTCAGACACTTGTGTGTTGTCCCAAAGACACCAGGGGTAAGAAATTTCGTTGTTTTCTATTCTTTTCTTTGATATGAAAATGGAAATGATGCATCTCACATTCAAATAGAGATAGAACTGGGGTGACTGATTCGTTTCCCTGAGATGCTGAAGGAAATTGATAGATATAACCATGTGTTGGTTTAATGATATGCAGAGGCCTCCTATTGTTGGAATCTTGACGCGACACGACTTTATGCCAGGGCATGTTTTGGGACTCTACCCACATATCGTTCCCCACAAGTACGCTTGAACAATGAACTTTGTTGCTGTCACATGACATGTCTTGGTTGACATTATAAACGTCTTCTTTTAGACAGATGGCCCAAAGAAAGGCATCTTGTTTTTCCTGTATATATATATATATAATTTCACATTTATTATGAACTGGGATTTATTCTAATATGTAGAAAATAATGTTATCTTCACTCATTTCGAATTTTTCATTGTGATATAGGCATTTAAATTTGTTGAATAACATTTGGATGCTCATAGATTAGTCCTCTTGCAATTGCTGTTGCAAAAACATTTTATTACATTACTGATATTATTTTGTCTGTCCTTTATCAACAATTAAAGCAAACAGCATAGCTTGGTCTCCAACTTGACGAAGATCATGATCACTAAGCTCAACTAACGTTAGTATCCATTCAGAAATGTTTCTTATAAGCTAGCTAGCAATTTCGTCCGAGGATATACTGGATACGTATCTCAGTCCCAACATTCAGTGCTCTTCCATTTTCATGTCCTATAAACTGTGAAACGACTCCTGGATTTTCCTCAATTATAGCTCCAAACTAGCATCCCTCTGAATTAGAGAACCTCCAAGAAGGCTGATAAGCGATTCACTCAATATCTGCTGCTCTATAAGTTAAACTTTGGAGCCAACTATGACTGAGGGAATGAGCACTAGATCCACAACCTGCAGGAAAATGGTTTAAATTATATGAGGAACTGGGAAAAGCTTCCCAAATAGGGAAGAAATTTCACATTTAAAAATTGGAACAAGTTCCTGAGGTAAGTTCTTCCTCCAAAAAGGAAAGATTAAGAAGTCCTCTTTCCCGTAAGATATGCAAGACATGAAATAATATGACAGAATTAATACAGATGGGAGGATTTGATTCAAAATGGAATTAAGAATTTATGGAAGAGGACATTGCAGATGTAGAAGAAGAAGAAGAAGAATGGGATTTGATTCATATCACACTATCCAGTCATGTGCTTTTAGTGCTAGTTAAAAAATTGTATTACCTTTAAAAATATTATTTGTCAAGTACGATGTGGAACTTATTGCCATTATCTAGTCATCTAGGTTGATGCTAAGCATCTTGGGGTTAAATAGCATTACTCATTTAACTTTTATCACAATAAATACTGTTTTGAAAAAAATTAGGACCGAACTCTCTAATCTTTCACACGGTGTGATTATAGGTACCCAACCTTTAGACGTGAAGTATGGGTTCTCAACCCATTTATATGAATGAATATGGATCTCCACGTGATTGAAGCCACCAATTTGGATGATAAAATTATACACGGCTTTCATGTTACTTAAAGTTTGAGGGAAAAATTGTTAAACCGTTTAATATCTCTCTAATTCAATTGAAAGTCGCTTGTGATTTTATCATTCACATTTACAGTTTTGATCACATATGTGCTTGAAGTCAAATATTTAAATTGGTTTGGGACTTGGAACTTAAAAGTTGAGGACTCGTAACTTAATCACATGAAAGGTTGAGGAGCTTGACACTAAATTTTTCCTTTATTCTTGGAGTTTTTTTTTTTTTTTTGTCTCGGGCGAAGTGGGCCTCACAAACCATGTTTGTGCGATTGATCTTATAGATATATTTCGGCATGTAGCTATAGCCGAAGCATAACAATGTTATAGGTACAAAATAGGATAATTCTTTTGTAATATGGCCAATGATGTAGAGTGAATTATAAAATTGATTAAATATGTGAATATGAGATCCATTCGATTGACTTTATGATTTACTATTGTTATCATGTAGTGTAAACTCACCATTGTTTTGAGAGGTGCATGCATGTCCAAAGTCCATGTGCAATATATGTGCATTTTTTGTACCTACGTGGTATATTTTTTGAAAAATGCTAGATGTACATCAAGGTGTACATCATCTCGCATGGAGGGGCCCACTCAAATAAAATATTCAAGTGAGCCCCTTAGAGGGGGGTGTACACCGTGATGTATGTACCTCTAACATTGCTCATATTTTTTTAATCATGTAACTTTATTGTGTTATCAATATGCATTTAAGCGTATGTTCATTTTTCATTTTTTCAAAATGATTTTTGCCCTCCTGAAAATGGGTCACGCCGTGAAATACTAAGTCAAGAAAGACAGCTCGACGGTCCAAAAAATTATTAAAATGAGGATTAAAATGGAAATAAACGGGTGCAAATAATCAGAAGGCAGATATTCATCATGAATACATAATGCAAAAAATATGACACAGAACGTGTTGGTGCTGACTGTTGAAATAAGGGAAAATTGTACCAGGACTTTCAAACATTTTTAAAAATGTAGCTGAGTCCCTAATCCTTTATTTTTGGCACTATCATCCTAAATGTTTGCAAAAACATGCAGTACAAGGACTTATGGATGATAAACTTCTAAAAGTCCGTTAAATTGGGATGAGTATGATTGATTTTTCGAAGTGTGAATGAGTACCTTCTTAATTTTGTTAGAATAACTAAAAAGACAAAGATGGGGACAATAATGCAAAAAAATGCAGTTTACACAGACATCCCACTCCGCCTTTGCTAGGCACCAGGGGGTTCTCCCCGATGGCAGTATTGCAAGTCGAGATCATTTGGATCCCACCATAATTTACTCAACATTGTGTCTCCTATCCACATTCATCTCTCGCAAAAATATGAAAAAACCGTCAACTACCAAGTATATGATGAACACAAATTATAAACCGCAAGAGTAAAAAAATTTACATTGACAACCAGTCAAACTTTGAGGTGATTGGCTTAATAAAAGTTCGCAATACATGACAATAATTCACTATTGTTAAACAGAAAGAAGGATTCCTATCTAATGTGCAGAAAGCTCCTCATGTCAATGAATCTGCAGATGTGAATGTGTGCATGTCATACTATACAGTGAGAGACGCGCCATTGTCTGCGGATGTAAGATTAAGAATCATCGTAGCTGCCTTTGGAGCCCTGTTGAAAATTAGGTGAAAAACTTGGGAAACCAGAACATTTACACTTCAGCAGCAAGTGAAATTCTCAACCTTAAATCCCTGATTTTGATTTAAAAACACACACACACAAATCTCAAACCGCCATGGATCAAAACCATCATTTCAGAAAGATCATAGTTAATTTATTTGCTTGAAAGGATACTTGAGGAATCCTTTGTTTAATGATTTAAAAGAAAAGGAAGATTTTGACAGTATACCAATTTTCTTAATTTTGTTCTCTGACGTACCTTAATTGCTTGTGAAGGCAAACACAATATATCACTTGTATATCCCATATATTTAGTAATTTATTGTAAAAGAAAAATATCTCCCAACTAAAAGGTATGTACACTGCAGAATTTTCAAAATAACCACTCAAGGATCAGTATTCATGTCAATTTTATGTCTAAATTAATGAACCATGCATTTTTAGATCCTTGGATTTGTTTATTAGGATTGGTGTTTCTAATTTTACAACTAATGCGGAAACTACAGAAGTTGAAATTCACCAAATCATACTGATGCACAACTCAAAATTCATAAGGCGCGGGGAGGGAGGGAGGGAGAGAGAGAGAGAGAGAGTTTATACCATGAATCTGGAGTTTCATACAGAGCAGCTGAACTGCCAAAACATGATTGAAGCATTTCAGTGTTTATTACCCCAGGATTAAGGGCAACAATTGCCATTCCAGGGGGTAACTCCTTTGCTGCTGCCCTCGTCAAACCCTCCACTGCCCATTTTGAAGCACAATATGGTGCTACCTGTAAGATTTTATAAAGTTTCAAGTAATTAACATGGCAAGGAGGTAAGGAACCAAAAGCTCAATAATTAAGATTTTGAACTATAAATCTGGGTCATCACTTATATCAAATGCAAGTTGAGGTGAGAACAGTAGAATATAAACTACACCACATCGATAGAACATACAGCTTAAGTTAAATCATCAAGTTTAGCTGGTGAAGATCGAAATATTGGAAATGCAATGAAAATTATTATAAACCCTAGTATAGTGTTAGTTAGGGCTTAGGGGTAGGCAAGCATATAACTCGAAACCAGATGAACTGGACTTGATGGTGTTGTTTTGTTCCTCAGAAGTAAGAAACATAGATTATATTTTGACTGTCTCGAACTGGGAACTGGACAGTTTGGTTCAGTATTTCGGGTCAACAGGGAACAATGTAACAATTGACTTAACAGGTTTACTCGATTTCTTTTTCCTTTTAGTTTTTTTATATATTTTTAATAAATGTTAATTTTTTTTATTGGTAGATAGATTTAATTACGATGCACCTATCCACACCTAATCTAGCCCCTTTTTTAAGCCCCAAACTGCTCAACTCTCCGTTCAGTCTGGTTCAATTCTCTTCTGTTATAGACATCCGACTGATTTTGCATGAAAGAAACCAAATTTGACCAGTTCTCATAATAACTAGACTGTGTCCACCCTAGTATTAGTTATCAACTGATAATATTAATGATAACAAGATCCCCAGCTAAAAGAACACTTGTATCTAATATATCGAGAAGTATAAAATTGTCTGCAATAACATATTGTTTCATAAGATTAGAATATACTGCACAATATATAAATTTTAAGAAAGATAAACATAATATTCCAAATTACCAGGGCAGCAGCAGATCTTCCCCATCCAGATGATATGTTCACAATTATACCTTGCTTCTTCTCGATCATAAGGGGAATGAAGTGGCGCAACATATTTGCTATCCCCTTGATATTAGTATCAATGACAGCGTCAAATTCATCTACTGGAACTTCCCATATTCTATTATTCCTATTTATTGTGCCAGCATTGTTCACTGGAAAATATTCATGTGTTAGATCTAGCATCAATTAGTAAAATGACAAGCCAAGTGAAGTCTAGAATGCAATTTAGATAAACATGAATCTTCTCTAGCACTTGCAAAGGAAAAGGGCGAAGGGAACCATTTTACCTTCATATAGGGAGGTTGATGCCTTAAGACATCAGGGCATATGCCTTTTCCATATTAACTTCTTATATGATATAAATAAAGAAATGGGCAAGTGAAAAGACAACATCAACAAAATGTTTGATTCAGCCCATGTGTTATCACAAAACACTGAGAAGTAGTAAATTTAAAACTAGAATGGTTTCAAAGATGGGTGGCAAGCAGCACGAGATTGTTGAAATCTCAGTTTATACAGAAATAGAAGTGCAGGACAACTAAAAATACTATCTAAAATCTTCTGTAAGAAGTAATACGCTCTTAAATTATTGTTTTGTTTTCCTCCACTGACTGAAACTAGACATTTTTCTCTTTCATTGCATGAAGAATACACCTTCAGGGGTAAATGTTTGAAAAGCCTGTTGAACACTAAACTGAGTTGAGGAGGAAGACGAGCAAAATTCATGTAAGACCAATGGCATATTAACTTTACGACGACTTTTCATCAATCAGTTATATCAATTGATGTGAATAGAATTGTTTTATTTTCTTTGATAATGCCTAATGTACCTTCGAAAATTACTTGCATTGTACCTGGGGATTTAACTCTTTTTCACTTGAATTCTCTACTTCTGCACTGGGACTTTATTCTATTCTAGGCTATAGCCAAAAGTATACTAAGGGTAGTAAAGCCAAGCCCATGCCCAGTCAGACAAAGCTAGTCATCTTACTTGGTCCATCTACCATCCCTAGATATGTCTTTCTTTCCTTTGTTTGGCTTGTGCTTGAGTGGTTGATCCCTACTAAGCCCCAGTTTGGTACACATTAAAATTTTCGTTCTCATTCTTCTACTCATTTTCAACCACACATTTTTCAATAAAATAATATTTTCTATCACATCAATAACTTTTCCTTTTTTTTTTTTCAACCACACATTTTCCATCAATCTACTATTCCAGAATACATTCTTCCAAAATAATGTGGCTCAAACACACCCTAACAGTATGACGTTAATCCACAGCAAAAGCCTCCCCAGATGATATTGTTCCAGATATTACCATCTCTAAATTGTGCAACCGATACCATCATTGTTGTAAAGTAGCACAAGATGACCTTATAGCATCCAAATTCTTTTATGTAAAATCAGACAAACTAAAATTATCCGCTAACAAGCTATATAACCTTAATGGTTACATTGAATTATCCATAACTCGTAGCAATGTGCCACTAAAATATCTCCCCTGTAAAAATATGTCTATGAACATTCAGCCATCTCAATAACAACCAATTATATATACAATCGTGAATCAAACGTACCTAAAATATCAGGAAAGGCCTTCTTTTCCACCAATGAGCGCGCCAACTCTTCAACGCTGCTATTAGAACTCTACAAAGTCAAACCACGCATCAAAGACAGTTATATCAGCACTGAAATCGATTAAACGCATACAGAAACGAATTCCACAAATGCAAAACTAATTACCACGTCGACATTCATGACAAGGTGTTCGTTGGCATTCCTGCTGGCATCGGAAGACACGAAGGACGCTGAAGCAGAGGATAGCTCCGATTGGAGAGCGGGTAGTTTATCCTGGGAGCGGGAGCAGCCGATTACAGTGTGGCCGCGCTTGGCCAATTCCAGAGCTAGGGCTTTGCCGAGACCTCTGCTCACCCCCGTTATTAGCACCGTTTTCTGAGCGTCCGCCGCAGCCGCTCCTACGATGTTCATGGGTTTTGCTGCCGTGGGCATCGGTAGTGTAGTGGTATCGCTGCACTACTATCTTCAAATTGCGACTGTAACTGCTTTGAGGAATAGAAGGGGCCACGTCGCATGTTTGGAGTTTAAAAAATACTATTTTTAAAAAATATTTTTGGTGACGACATAGATTGCGATATCAAATCCCTTGATTAATCTGAAATGTTATCAAGGATAGGTTGAGTGGACAATTTTACCGGATAGTAGCGGCGGCTTGAATCGCAATTTAACCAAAAATCGATATCGTGATTAAGTTGATTTGTTAATTTGAGATCCTGAACGACGTTGCTTCACTCCGTAGTGTTAGATTGTTGTTGATGTTATAATGCTCATGGTCATTCTAATCGAATGTCTAGCTTTTCCGATGACAATGGTGAATTCCAGTGACTTTCTATCAAAAATGAGTGAAATGAAAAATTATCTCGTATTTATAAATTTCATGTTAGTGTCGTTGATGTGTGGGTAGAGAAATGGCGAGCCACATAATTGCCTATCGTTTATCTTTTGTCCTTACGTTGATTGTACAAGAATGATATATCATCAATCAATCATCAAATATCTCTGAGATTTCACCTCCAAGCACATGGTGAATCAGCAAATCTTTTCACTTTGCCTGAGGTGAATTCTGGTCTTTTTTCGTGCATCTTTATCTGGATTACAGTTTGTTGGGTTTAAATTCTCATTCTCTTAAGCTTTAAGATTTTGAAAATTTCCAGCAAATTGTGTTTTGGTTGCTGCATTGCCACGAACTGTAGCAAGTTGTTGTTTTAGTTTCGTTACTGGTTTAAAGTGCAGACGTGCTCCTCCAATTGTTTCAGTTATGGGAACGCATTGACTATCAAGGTTCGGTCTCTGGGCTCGGTTTCGTTTTCTGCTTTCTGGGGGTTTTTTCTGCGTAGTTGCTATTTTTGTGTGGTGGTCTGTGCATGTATGTCTTCTTACTCAGGTTGGTGGTTTGAGTTTGTTTTCGGCAGTTGGGTTCTGGTTTGGTGTCTGGTTTTCTTCGTGGTGTTCAGCCCTTTGTCGGCGTTTTCATCTTCTTGGCTTCGTTATCTGCTTATCTTGTGTATCTATCATCTTTGATTCAAATTATCATTTGAAAATTTGAATTTTGTGTTTTTGGCTGAGCACATGAACTCCTCTGCGGTTTTCCTGCTGATTGTTTTTGTCATTCATGCACGCTACTGGGACACTTTTTCTTGGTGGCAACCTGTTGTGTGATTTCCCTGTTGACTGCTTTAGTTGGATGTCAACTTTTGTCCTCCAACACGTCAAATCTCCAGCTGATTTCTTGATTCCTTCTTGGGCCGGTTTGTCTGCTGCTTTGTGCCCACTGGTTCTCTCTTTGTCTTGGTCTTATCCTTGGCCGGTTTCTGTTGGATCGGGTTTTTGAGGTTTTTTGGCCCTTTTTCCTCAGGTTTGTTGGATCTTCTTTCTTTTGGGCCAGCTGGACCACTCCTCTTTTTTTTTTCCTTGACTTGGTGGTTAGTAGTCTGGGCCTCTACTCTTGCTGGACTGCCATGGACTTACCTTTTATACTCTTATGGGTAAGAAAGCTTTGACTAAACTTAAGGTGATTCCCCCCCTCCCCCCTAAAACGCATTCCCCATGTACCTCTCCCTGAGGTTGCTACGCAAGGTTCCAGTGCTGGGAATCAAATTGTTATTGGGAAGGAAACTCTTGTGACTGAATCACCATGTGTGTCCATTACACTAGGTGATGAGGACACAGACGTGGAAAACTCATGCAAAAAACCCCCGCCTGAAACTAAGGACAAGAACATGGATGACAAAAGTGAAAAATCTCCATGGGTGAACCTTTTCAAGGACAACAGAAATTCTGAAGAAGGTATACAATTGGAGAAATATACTAACCTCTCGGATGTGGTTGAACTAAAAGTTGAAGATGTTAAAAATGTCGAAGAAAAATACGGCTATGGAGTGATTGGATATTTTGCGGAATGGTTCCCAGGGAAAAATGCACTCCTCCAAATTTGTTCCTCTTGGAATGTCAAATACCAATATTATGTACACGAAAGTGGGTGGCTGGTATTCAAATTTGAGTCGGAAATGGATAGAATAAAAATGCTGAGCAATGGGCCATGTTTTGTTTTCGGTCGGCCACTGATGCTTAAAGATATGCCGCTATTTTGAGTTTGATGATAAGGGGATAAGCTCAATTCTAGTGTGGATCAATCTGCCCGGATTACCTGTGGAATTTTGGGGTGCAAATGCATTGGGGAAAATTGTCTCCAAAGTGGGCAAACCTATCAATATTGATAAGCTTACATCCACCATGGAAAGAATCTCATTTGCGAGAGTCCTAGTAGAAGTTGATGCATCTAAAGAGCCTGTGAAGAGTGTGAAGGTAAAGCTTCCCAATAACATTGTTAGGGAGCAAAAAATCGTTTTCGAACATATACCTAAATTTTGTGGTTGCTACAAAGTGTTTGGAACTGGTCAAACCTCCTTCAGGCATAAATAACGGGTAGCATGAGAGCTCGTGTTCTAAACTGCCAGAGATGGAGACAAGGGATAACTACAATAATTTGGCCGAACTGAGTTGTGAGGAACATACAGGTAAAAAATCTGAAACGGTGACAGAATGTGGACAGCCTAACCTCAGCTCAAATTGCAATGGAAAACTTAAAGCAAAAAGTGATGTGCGGGCCAAGAAAACTACTAAAAAGGCTAGCAAGAGGGGCAACACTCTTGTTATTTCGTCATGAAGATTGCTTCATGGAATATAAGGGGTTTGAACCAACCCTTGAAACAAAATGGAGTTCGGGAGTTTATCAAAAAACATGACATTGATATTATGGGAATCTTGGAAACCAAACTTGGCGAACCGAAGTTGAAGCGTATTATGCGGAATAAATTTCATGGTATGATGCAAGAAACTAACTTTAACACTCACGAAGCTAGGAGAATATTGATTTTGTGGAATCCCATGAAGATTCTTTTGGAGGTGATCGAGTGTATACCACAAGCCATTCATTGCGTTGCTACTTGTAAGGTAACTTCATATACCTTTCATATTAGCTTCGTTTATGCTTTTCATACGATTGTTACTAGGAGGTCACTTTGGAACAATATTATGGGAATGAACGTCTCGCTACCATGGATATTTCTCGGGGATTTCAATAATGTTCTCAAGTTTGATGAAAAATGCATCGCTTCGGACGTAACACCTTATGAATTGAGAGATTTTGCAAATTGCTGCCTTCATATGGGACTAACGGATCTTAGGTCCACGGGGTACTTCTTCACGTGGACCAATAACACTACTTAGAGCAAGTTAGATAGAGCCATGATAAATGATGTTTGGATGCAAAGGGGCGTCATCGGAAGTGCGGATTTCTTACCTTTCGGATGTCTATCCGACCACTCCCCGTGCATTGTTTCAATTATGGAGGGACAAGGGAGTTGTAGGAGGCCTTTCAAATTTTTTAACATGTGGCCAGCTCACCAAGACTTCTTGGATATCACCCCGATTCACCCGTAATGGCTGGAGTTGAGAGGTAAGGGGCACTAAACAATTCATTTTTTGTAAAAAGTTGCAGTATTTGAAGGTGGCACTGAAGGGACTTAATTTAAAATACTATGGGCACATATCCGCTAGAGCAAACAATGCCAAAATGGAGCTGGAGAATAGCCAAAGGCTGCTTCATGACAAGCCTACTAATCAACAACTCCAAGTCTTGGTTGCCAAATTAAGAAAGAAATTCGTTAGGCTATGTGAAGCGGAACACAGCTTTTATTTCCAACAAGCTAAGTGTAACTACCTTATCAATAGTGATAAATGTACAAAGTTCTTCCATGGCATGGTAAAGAGAAACATGAAGAGGAATTTTATTGCAAAAGTAATGAAGGTGCATGGTAGCTACACTACATCGCAAGAGGAAGTTGCACGTGAATTCACTAATTTCTACAGAACATTGCTTGGAGAAAGCTACCCAAATGAACCTATTGAGCATAATTTTCTCAGTGAAAGGTCGTTGGTGACTGAGGAACAATGGGAAACACTCATTCGAAAAATTTCTAGTTAAGATGTGAGGGAAGCACTTTTTGACAATGGGGAAGATAAATCACCTGGACCTGATGGGTTCACTTCTCATTTCTTCAAAAAAGCCTGGGAAGTTGTTGGGATTGATTTTGTCGATGCCATCATGAAATTCTTTGAGTCGGGTTCACTGCTCAAGCAAATCAATCACACGGTTATCGCTTTGCTGCCGAAATCTAGTCACACTACTATTGTTAGTGACTATAGACCTCTTTCTTGCTGCATTGTTTTCTACAAGGTCATCACTAAGATTCTCGTATATTGGGGAGCATAGTTGACAAAGCCCAATCCACATTCGTGGAAGAGAGAAGTATGATGGAAAACGTCCACCTTGTCTAAGAACTCATGAGGCAATACAATCGTAAGTGGGTTGCCCCTAGATGCTTACTTAAGGTGGATTTACGTAAGGAGTATGATTCGGTGGATTGGGGATTTCTTAAGCAAATGCTTGAGGGACTACGCTTTCCTCCAAAATTCATAGGGTGGGTTATGGAATGTTTAACCACTACCACCCATTCCGTTGCTTTGAATGGATGAATACATGGCTTTTTCAAATGAGCAAAAGGATTACGGCAAGGTGACCCTTTGTCACCATTTTTATTTGTCTTGTGCATTGAATACCTATTGAGAATACTTAAGGCAGCCACGAAGGAGAGTGATTTCAATTTTCATCCTAAGTACGGTCCGCTTAATATTGTGCACTTGGCTTTTGCGGATGACCTTATGCTCTTTGCTAGAGGAGATACCATGTCGGTAGATATTTTGATGAATTGCCTTGATAAATTTGGGAAGGCTTCGGGTTTGAGGATGAATAGCTTGAAATCAAGCCTGTTTACTGCTGGTGTGCACGGCCAAGACCTTGAAAATATTCAAGATCTTACAAATATCCCTAAGGGGACTATGCATTTTCG